TGCCGGGACTGCGCGGGGCGGGGTCTGCCAGCGGCCGGCTCTGTCCGCGGCCAATCGGCAGCCCGCGGCTCCGGCGCCGCTCGGCGGCCGGAGAGCAGCCGCGCCGGCCCACCGTCCTGCAATTTCAGCATCCGGCGCCATCCGCCACGCCGACCGACAATTACGGCCAGCGACCGGCAGCGCCGTCCGTTCGCGGAAAATTAGAGCGCGCGCCCCATATTCCGGTGAGTGAAGGACCGCGGCGGGCGACTGTCGAACCCACCACCGCTTGGACCACCGGTGTTACACCGGACCACTGTCATACTCGGACTCACCGCCGTTCATACGGACCTGTTCATACGGACCGGACCTGTCTGTCCTGTGTTACACTAGACAGACTGTCGGATACGAACCCAATGCCGCTCGGTCGCTGCTGGTAAAGCGTCCTGTCTGTACTTTGTGGTAGTCTTCTTGTGGAGCCCAGACGTTGTCGTTATGTGTCCGCTCATGTCCATCCTCCGGCTGACCGTTTGATGTGACACTGCCCAGAGCTGTGACGCTGCCCGGTTCGAGCTGGCATACGAGTACTCGTAACCGTATGACCCCTCCGGTTGAAGTCTGCGACTGCGTGACACCTTTGGTCGGGGTGTGTGGCCGTGTGACGCCTCCGGCCAGAGTTTCGGCCGTGTGACACCTTTGGCCGGGGTGTGTGGCCGTGTGACGCCCTCCGGTCGGGGTCTGCGGTCGGTCGGCGGCAGTCACCGTCGCCGGCCGGTCGTCTGTCATTTGTCGGCGGTTTGCCACTGATTGAGGGAGCACTAAGTGCTCGGCGGCGCGACCAATGAGTGGTCCGGTGGCTGCCACCGCCGGCCGCACAATGGGTGGCCTACGCCGAACGGCGCTGTCGGCGGCACACCACTGGCGCCAGGGACGGTCCCACATAATGCCGCTTATCTAATTACCTTATACCTATCCGCCGCTTTACTATCGGAAATTCAGAGGGTCGACCAAAGTTCGGGGTAGGTATATAAGTCTCCTTGATAGTTCTCAGTGTGTGGGTCACAGGAATAAATTATTCCCCCCTGTTACTCACTGTCACACGTTCAGCGAACCGTCCCCGCTGACTATTCGGAAACAATAAGCGCCAGTGTCGGCTAGGACAGTCAGGTATTTGAAGGAAACTCCAGGCATTTGACGAGGCTCTCTGAAAATAACGTCCGACACTCATCATCCGTCATAAACTCCATCTGAACTGACTCACTGGGGCAGCCAAAGGGCGCACCAATCGCCATGACCCGGTGCGGTCAGAAGTTGCCTCATCGGTACCCCTAATTCCCCGTGATGCTCTCGACGGCGATGACATTGCGAAACACGAGCGGGCCATTTAGCGCGAACACGTGATAAATCACTCTGTTGGCTCACTTTTTGATCACGCTGGCCTTCGCTCTGAGCTATTCCGTCCGTAATGAGCGTGTCTCCTGACGCACCATTAACTCCAGTCAACGCGGCTTTGTGATTGGCCAGAACGTGCCTCTTCCTTCGTAAAGATACGAACAGAAAGAGAATAGTGATTTTACCAGGACAATTTTTGTGTCCTAACACTTTCCTGGCGCATTATTTAACATATCTGCTCGATGCAATCCACTGGGGCCGAAGAAAAATGCAGGGGAAATATAGAGATGCATCTCTCGGGCTGAGCGACGAAGCAATAAGCATGCAGCTAGAAAATCTGGCTAAACGGTGGTCCATGTAAAAGAGACGGGTGTCATTCAATAATGTCGGCAAAACGATGCTTTTAATTCAATCTTGCCTCGACAATATCAAAGGTCAGCCCAAATCGCTTCAGCCGTTGCACCCGGGCAAGAGGTGCTGAGCGCTAGTAATTTGTACGTCTATTTGTCGTCTAAGAGGCGGTCTCTTCAAACCGCTTTAAGATCAGCCGTATCTCTCCGATCAGTCGCGTGACGTTGGTGAAAGTATGACCAAAGAAGACCAAAATATGACACGAGGAAAAGGGCGACAGCCGGCACAGGGGACCGGCACGCCGAGGGCTGAGTGCTCAGGTACCGGGTGGCTTGTCGCAAACTGTTGTCGGTAAAATGCATTTGCTGACACAACTACAGTTAAGATCCTTGAAGAATCTGTGATAATGAAAGATATGGAGCCCAACGGACAGAGGCAGCGCACCAAAAATGCACACCAGTGGCTAAACAATAACAACTTTCACTTTATAGTGAGCTACCAACACATGTTTCGATGCATTATTAAATCGGTTGGAACTTGGAAGGCCCAGCCGCTTCGCAACAAACAAAGGCGAGGGCCCTAGGAAGGGTGGAGACGTTGATTTGATAATGGGTCGGGTACCTATATGAGTGACAACACACCTTATAAAGTGGTAAATATGTATCTCGAGACATTGAACGCGCTTTTGGTATTTCACAAAATGATTTTTTTCTATATGATTTTGCAAATTATACAGGACTGCTTAATATCGCAATGAGTGACCAAAGCTGTCGACCGTATCAAATGCCCTTATAAACAAAAACAGAGATAGTTATAACGGCGTATACAACGGCAATGCCTGAGAAACGGCATTCATGTGTCGGTACTCGCACGACATAAACAAAATACTTGAATCTTTAATCAGACGGCTTTAAGTGTCGGCAAATTAATGATCCGCGACAACCATGGCCGGCTTCTACAGACACTTATCGTTTCTGCGGCCCGCTCACGGCGCACTAAAAATGAGAACACAACGCCACTATCATAAACAGCGAAAGAAACTAAAGGCGCACCGACATAGCCGTTTTTGTGGGCGGACTAGCGGTTCCGCGACGGCCACGAACATACCTACAGTCAGTGACAGGGGGTGCGGTGACGGTATCGAACAGGGCACTAAGGATGAACATACAGGTATGGATACAGGGGGCAACAGAAGCGCTTTGAAGGCGTCACTTTGACGCCTATTCAGCTAAACTCGAGCCATCGGCAGGCACTCGTGAGTGGGTGGCAAACAAGTCAGGGAAAATCAGCCCTCCGACGACTGAGTTACACCCGATTCATCTGTGACAGTACAGCCTCTAACGAGACGGGTCTACTCGGCACTGGACGCCGCTGAGGAGTCCGGTAATTATGTCCGTGTTTTTCATTGTCAGCCGGGCGGCGCGGTGGCCGGGGGAGCCGTGTGTGCGCGCGGCGCGGTGGCCGGGGGAGCCGTGTGCGCGCCGCGCGGCGGGTGTCGCAATGTGCCGGTGTCGGCCGTGTAGTGCGGCCCGATATCGAACAGCGCGCGGCGCGCCGAACACCGCGCCGCTCTGACAGACATCGCGCCGCCTTCATCTGCCGGCTATAAATCAAACGCCGACAGCGGCTTAGCTGCTGTTTATGGCGGCTGAAGCCGGCTGCAGGTGCCACCGGGAACGGGAAGTGGAGGAGACAGAGAGGAGACAAAAGGGGTGATAGGGAAGGGAGAGAACAGGCAGAGGCGGAGATAAGAGAAGACAGAGAAAAAGAGGGAAAAGAATATACACATAGTAGAGGTTGAGAGACCATTTTTTGACGAGACAAACAAACAAGTGACCTGCCGGCATAGCCGGCCACGGAGGAGACAGCTTACGTCGGGTGCTGAAGTCACCGCTAATAGCCATTGCATTCCAATCACCGATGGATCCCGGGGCTGGGATATGCCCCCTCCCAAAAAGTGTCCCGACCTGAAAGCTGCACTATCCGAGTTCTCCTCTTTCCCAATATCCATGTCCTTCCCTGATTGGTTCCGCTCTCCCCCTCCCCTCTCCTCCCCGGCGTTAGTTGCTCCGACCGGGCGGCCGAGATCCTGACGGCGGATAGAGGCGCTGCCGGCCACTTTACGGCCATTCGACTGTCGCCGCCAGTCTGATGAGTTTTTAAACGGTCGTACGGCCCGCCGGCTGTCAGGGACGCGCATCGCTGTCACGACGGACGGCCGGGCAGCGCGGCACGCCGCTCGCGCTGGCCGCTGAGCCCACTGAGCGCGAGGTCGGCACGCGCACATAGCGGGCTTCCGGACAGGTGGGTGAATTTGTCAGAGATGAATGACGAGTTGAGGAGTAGGGGAAGAGTTTTAAAAGTCCGAGGAAGGTGAGGTAAAATATCTGGGCCACTCTTACCGTCATAGATGAAACGTCCAAACAGTCCGGTGTGTTTTGGTCCATAGATGAGACCAAAACACACCGGCAGCATGATTGAAGGTGTCGTTGTTCAGTGCTACAGCGGCGGGACCCGTCCTTCTGGTGTAAAAACGACCATCCTTAGGGCGGGGACGTTGGACACTGTCCCTCTTAACACACGTGCATAAACGTCTCTCTGGAGAGAAACGTGCAAATTGCTAATTTCTGTACATAAACGTTAGAGACCGTCTCTCTGTGCAGCGTAAGGAGACGCGAGGGCCAGTCCCATGAATTGACGTGATGGTCAGTCCCTTCGAACGGACGTGAGGGGCTGATCCTCTGTAAGTATCGTGATGGGCCGCATCTCCTTACAGAGACGTGAGGGTCGTCCCTCGGTGCAAGCCCGAGGGTCTGCGGGTAAGAGTCCGTCGATCCAGCGTCCCTCCGAACAGAGACGTGAGGCGCCGTCCCTCTGAGCAGAGGCGCGAGGGGCGTCCTCGGCAGCGCGGCCCTCGAAGAACGGCGGCGCTCTGGGCGGTCGTTGGGCCAACTCAGCGCCGCCCGCTGCCCACCAGATAACTGAGTCTAATCATGCAAACTACGCAGGGACCGCACGGGCGCGCCCAGATACTGACCCATGGGGTGCGCCCGTCGGTCAGCCCCCATCTCTGATATGATCGCTGATCATCTCAAAAACGCACTAGTTTGCTAATAATAGGTCAACTCGTTCGGGCTCAACAAAGCCATCTCGCCTACCCTGACCGGCGTGCTGGCGCCGCCACTGCGCCTCGGCTGGCCTGCGGTCAGTGTATGCCGGACGGGGCCGACAGCTAGCGCCGCCTGTCGGTCAGGTGAGTAATCTGCGCGGCGCCGGCCGGCAGTCGGACCGAGACACTGGAGGTGGGTGGACTGCGCGCCCGTGCCGCCGATTCTGTGTGAGTGCCACCGCCGCGAGCGCCAGTGTGAGTGTGATTTTAGTGCAAAGGACACGGGGGATGAGACACGAGGAGTCCAGGTAAATACCAACACCCCGTGCAACTTCGTACTTTGTCCGAAAACTTGATTAGAGGACTGAATAGACCGTGCCGGCGGCCGGCGCCACTTAAACGAGTCTAACTACTTTCAATTTCGTAGGTTTTGTTCCTTAAAGATTGTCGGCAATCTCTTTCATCGTGGACGCAGGCATGCGTTCTGTATTTCCCCTTGTCTCCCACTCCCGCTTGCTCCCGGTCCACAGTCCAAGTCCATCCCTCGCCGAACGGCCTGAGCTCAGTGCCATGCCGATGGTAACCGTAACGCTATACAAAAATAAGCTTTATACAAGCAGCATTCAGGAGAGGGTCGAGTTGCGCCCGATGGTGCAGTCGGGCCAGAATCAGCCCGTTTTCCGTGTGCCGGCATGGCTGCGTGTCTGATACGAGTTTAATGACGAGCGCGGGGCAGGTTTCCTCGCGAGGCGGCCCATTATTTCCTTACTGGGAAGCCAATCTACGCATCAATCGGCGTCCAGTCGAAGACATGTGGCATGGCAGCGACCGGTGGAGGTTTCGGCCAGCTTATTCATGCAGCGAATCACAGAACCATCGCCTATTGCGGGACAGCTGACCCGCGTTCCAATGGCATCCACCCGTTGCACCTCCACACACATCGGTGAGACGGTGATAGAACGTATTCAGTTGGAATGTGCCAAGACGAAAACAACTCCGCTGACGCTAAGGCTACGTATTTTTCGGCCATTTAGGCATTTAGGAATCGTGCAACGTAACGTATCACGAACACACGAGGAAAGTAAAATCCAAACGAGGCGTGCACACAAGCCTGGTAAGTTGAAAGGCAAACAGACCATGAATCTATTCCTACACGAGTCAGCATACTGCAGTTGGTGAGAACGTCATATGTTAGACTGAAGACCATCTAAAGCGCCATTGTGGGTGACATTGGCATTGACATGCTGGCGACAAGATTAGAATCCTATGCAGGCTTTAACACCCGATGTCACACGGTGTCACGATCCTTCTTCCAGCAGTGAGCAGCACGTCCCGCAGAGGTCTTCCAACACGTTCGAAGCCCAACGTCATCACTCTCATCTCCAACAAAGCCAGCACCACCACCCCTGCCTCTATCGCCTTCAGAGCTCACCACTCCAGCCGCCGCTATCTTCAGAACTCGCTAGCATCATCACCATCACCAACAGCACCACCACCACGCCAGCCGCCGCCCGCCGCCGCCGTCGCCGCTGGAGCCGAAGGTGTGAACGGCCCGCCAATAACAATGGCCGTGCTGTTTTGCATATCACGGCGCGGATCGCCGGGCGCATCCGCCTGCCGTGGACCGGGCGGGGAGGGGTTCCTAGCGGACAGGGAAGGGGCTCGATGGACAGGGAGGGGTTCCCAGTGGACAGGGCAGGAATTTCTGACGGAGAAAGGAAGGGACTTCCTTGTGCCTTACATCCAAGTCTCATGATGCCAAAGATGCCGACACAAACTCAAGCACAAGCCCATCCCTGACGTGTGACGTATCTCTGGCCTTCGCCACCTTCGCCGTTGGGGGAATGGTCGGTGCGGATCTCCCTCTGCCTCCTGTTCCCTGTGGTATCCTCACCGCCAGTAGGCTCCTGACCGACCGACCAGCACGGGCCGCCGCCCATCTGACGCCGCCAGAAAGTGGCCTCGCAGCGCCGGCCGGCCGTCTCCGCGGGCCAGGGACGTGGGAATGCGAGACAATCGGCCAGCCTTTCCGCATGAGCCGCCCATCAGCACGGCGGCGCAGGTGTGCGAGGGTTTTGATTGATGCCATTAGTGAAGAATGAATGTCAAACACTCGACGGCTCGTCGGTCTGACAGGTGATAGGACCAGTTGTCAGAGCCTGGGGCGCTGAGGCACTTTCACATGAATGGCCCACTACATCTCCCTATGAAGGGTTATGTGCGTCACATTACCCTCCGCTGTAACACACGGCAGACGTTGCCGCGTCCTGTGCAGTTGGCTCGGTCGGGCCGGTGGTGGCGGCGCCGCTGACACGGGAGCCCGGCCGGCAGGGTGCGATCCGTGTCCGATGGGCCGCCGCCGCCGGCCCTATCGTGACTGGGGGGCGTGCAGCCCAGCGGCCGCCGACAGCCGCGCGCCTTTTTCTCGGGCGGATTTTCCTGCCGCCAACGCTGGCCGGTCGGTAAAAGTGGGCTGCATTTGGAGCGCCGTGGCCGCCCGAGCGTCGGTGGACGGCGCCCGCTCCGACTGTGGCTGAGGCGTACTGAGGCCGCGCTGCCCGCCAGCCGCGCCACGGTGCGTGCCAGCTCCGTGTGCAACGTGCATGACGTGTCCGAGACATTCTCCCCACCCATTGCCAGCGGCTGGCCGCTAACAGCCCTCTGAAATGACAGTACCGCGTACCACTCCGCCGTCTAACACATTTTCTCTTTCCACAGGGCCGGCGATGAATAATAAATGAGTGCGCTGAGCTGGCAGAGTGACGCCGCGTGCTGCCATGCTCGCCGCGCCGCCGGCGCTCCGGCGCGCCGCGCCCCTGCTGCTGGTCACACTGCTGGCGGCCGCCGCCGGCGCCGCTGCCGAGTACGTCAGCGAGTTTGACATAGCCGAGGGCGTGCCGGTGGGCACCAATGTGGGCTACATCGGCCGGACTACAGACGGGCGCGCGCGGCCGCCCGAGCCGCCCTACCTGATAGTGCCAGTGCCCGGCAGCGCTGTGGACGCTGACCTCAACATAGACGAGAACACGGGTCTGGTGCGCACGCGCGTCGTGCTCGACCGCGAGGTGCGCAGCTCGTACTCGCTAGTGGCGATCCCGCAGAGCGGCGAGAACATCCGAGTGGTGATCCGCGTCACGGACGAGAATGACAACGCGCCCACGTTCCCCGTGGAAACGATGGCGATCGAGTTTCCCGAGAACACGCCGCGCGATGTCAAACGGACGCTGTTCCCGGCGCGTGACCTCGACCTGGGCGTGTTCAACACGCAGCGATACAACATCGTCTCAGGTAACGTCAACGACGCGTTCCGTCTGTCGTCGCATCGCGAGCGCGACGGCGTGCTCTACCTCGACTTGCAGATCAACGGCTTCCTGGACCGCGAGACGACGGCCTTCTACAGTCTGGTGATTGAGGCGCTGGACGGCGGCTCGCCGCCGCTGCGGGGCTCCATGACGGTCAACATCACCATCCAGGACGTGAACGACAACCAGCCCATCTTCAACCAGTCGCGCTACTTCGCCACCATCCCGGAGAACGCCACCATCGGCAGCTCGGTGCTGCAGGTGTTCGCCACAGACACGGACAGCGCCGCCAACGGGCGCGTCACCTACTCCATCAACAGGAGGCAGAGCGACCACCAGAGCAACTTCAAGATCGACCCGAACTCGGGCGTCATCTCCGTGAACCGGCCGCTCGACTTCGAGTCGCGCCAGGTGCACGAGCTGGTGGTGGTGGCGCGCGACAACGGCGCTCAGCCGCTCGAGACCACCGCCTTCGTGTCCATCCGGGTCTCGGATGTTAACGACAACCTGCCCACCATCAACCTGATCTTCCTCAGTGAGGACGCGTCGCCGCGGATTGCCGAGGACGCTCAGCCGGGCGAGTTCGTGGCTCGCATCTCCGTCAACGACCCCGACACGAAGGAGGAGTACGACAACATTAGCGTCAACGTCACCCTATCCGGCGGCGACGGTCACTTCGGCCTGAAGACGCACGACAACATCATCTACCTGGTGATCGTGTCTCGGCCGCTGGACCGCGAGCTGAAGCCCAACTACACGTTGACTGTCCGCGCCACGGACCAGGGCACGCCGCCTCTGGTGGCCACGCGCTCCTTCGACCTGCTGGTTACAGATACCAACGACAACGCGCCGCGGTTCGAGAAGGCCGAGTACCACACGAGCGTGCTGGAGGTGGCCGACCCCGGCACCGAGGTGCTCCAGGTGACCGCGCTCGACAGCGACGAGGGCTCCAACTCGCGCGTGCACTACTCGCTGCTACCCGGCGAGGAGACGCACGCCGACTGGTTCGAGATTGACGAGAACACGGGCCTGATCACGACGCGGGCGCACATTGACTGTGAGACGGAGCCGGAGCCGCGGGTCACCGTGCTGGCCACGGACGGCGGCTCGCCGCCGCTCTCGGCCACGGCCGCCGTGCGCGTCACCATCGTCGACGTCAACGACAACGAGCCGGTGTTCGACCAGAGCTTCTACAACGTGTCCGTGGCCGAGGACCAGGCCGTCGGACACTGCATACTCAAGGTGAGTGGCTACGGCCGGACCCTCCCCGCACCCTCCAGACATGTATCGCTACTTTTACATCGCCGGCACAAATCAGACGTGTTTCTGGAAAGTTTGCAGTAATCATATGCGATGTGGTGTGATTTCCTGTACGATTGTCATAAGTTAAAATCGTGGAAGGTGTCGAAGAGTCGACTTTTCGAAACACGGCGATTCGTTTCAGACAGATCGCTAATCAATTGACAAGCAGTGATGCTCGACATTTTCCTTTAATTTCGTGATAGGTGCCCAAAAGAATGCATGATTTGTGAATGATTTCTGAATGCTTTAGATTCAAGATACCAAAATCGATGGCCTGCAAACGTTACGAGTCTATATCAACTTTTCATTGAAATCCAGCTATTTAAACGTCAGTTGGCACTGACAGTCGTAATGGTTACAAATGCATGCGACACACAGTGTTTGTGTATCTTGCGTTCACGTGATTTTAGCACAGCTCGCCTCAAATGGTCATGTGACCATGTTGAACATGACAAATAGAAGGCGTCTCACTGGGGGAACTTTCACTTGTGCACGGGCGATGACAGGCGGACCTCGTGTCGGCTGCACGGCGCGGCATCAATCGCCCGGCCTGCCCCGCCGATTGGCATGCGTGCTCCGTCGACATTGGTCCAACAGGCGGCTGACATTTCTTAGGTGCCTACTTGGCATGCCGGGCGCGGGCCGCGGAGCCGTCACGGGGCCGGCAGCTCGTCGGCAGCGGTCGGCCGGCCGCCGCCAGTTTCCCGGAATGTGCACGGCTCCATAAAACTGGCACGCCCTGATGGATTCGCGGCCGAGCTCCGGACGGCCGGTCGGCACGCTATGTCAGCCGGGCCGGCCGGCCGGGCCGCTCTGACGTCTGTGCCGACCAGCGGGCCCACACCCGGGACCTGCGACTGGTTTGGAGGTGTCAGTGGCACACTGGCACCTGTCACAGCATTGGCCGCCGCCCCGCCCGTCGGCCCGGCTGAGTTGTGCGTGTTGGCGTCCCTCCGGGCTCTCGGTCCGCTCCGCCGTCCGCCGGCCACATTCCAAAATGGCGGCGGACGGCGCGGCAAACAGCCGTCGGTCGGCGCGCTAAAAACACGGGGAGCCCGGCCGGCCGCGGACCGCCACGTGTGTTGGGACACCGCAGAGCCTGTGGGACGGACGGTGTCGCGCGCCGGACCCTGGAGCGCGCCGCGCGCCGCCGTCAATCCGGCCAGGTCAATCGAGCGATTGTTTTCCGGCGGGCATTCGAGCCAGAAAATTGAATTTAATAGTGCGGCGCTGACCGGCTCCAAGGCCGTCATGGCGGCGCTGGAGGGCCGAGGGGCAGGACGACGGTCGGCCGCGCCCGCCCGCCCTCTCTCTGTCTCTCCCTCCCTCTCCGTGGACGCGCAGCCCGGGGCAGCGAGAGCAGGCCGCGCAGCCGCCACCCTCCGCCGAACGGCTGCGGGCGAGCCGCGACTGCACGTCCGCGCTGACGTGTCCGAGCCTTTACGGCCGCCGGTAACAAAGGCGGCCAGTCGATATCCTTATTCACACCTTCTGGGAAGGACAAGTTTGGCGCGCTCAAAGTGGCCTCTGTCAGTCGTCGTCCCTGGGTGAGAACTTGATCCCATTATCGGCTCCGGGCGCGGCTCCCGGTTTGGTGGGCGGCTGCCGGCGGCGGTCCGGCCGGCCGGCCGCGCCGCCGACTGACCGGTGGCGTGACCACACCAGACCGCGCCACTCTCAGATCACCTGGATCGATGCTAATTTTCCGGCTACAGAGATAGGGCCGGCCGGCCGGGACGAGCCGCGCTCGGCCGCCGCGGCGTTGTCTCACGAACATATCAGCCAAACTCTTCCAGAAGCACGCCAGCCGAGCCGGCCGGGGGCGACCAGGGCCTTCTGCGCGGCACATATGCCTCAATAGGCGCCTCATAACGCGGCAGCCGCCAAACGCATTACACCGCCGCACCGGTGTACCTATATGGCGACACTTCTAACCTATCTGATCCGGTGATTACTTTATCGCCGAGATCTCAGCTGAATCCTACACCTGCGTCACCGGCCGCCTTGCTGAGATTTTTCGGTGTCGCCGCTTCTAATGCTCGTGTCGCGCGCCTTAGCAGTGTCTCGGTAAATATAGGGGAGAGTGGGGTGGGTTGTATCAGTTTTTACTCCGAGACCCATAACCTCGTAACTATCCGTGATAAACTCATTATTTCCATACTATCTCCTTCCTTGATTCTTCTGCTTTTTTGTGCAAAGTAACTTTTCCTCTACCTCTACTAGTTTTTCTTCTACGGTCGGCCGAATAGAACAATGTTTTTGATACAACTTGCGCCATGGCTTGGGTGAGTTGTATCACATGGTGGGGTAATTTGTATCACTAGGTATTTCACGTTTCAGGGAGTGTGCTTGCTACTGGTTTTGAGCATAACAACAACACTAAATGTGGTTGATACAATGTATATGCTCAAAGGCTTCACTTTTATTAGACCAAACTTAGGTCAATGCAATCCGAACGAAACATCGAAACGAACGAAACATCAACAGACTAGACGCAAAAGTGGCCCGTTAAGAGCAAAGAAGCCAACACATTGTGCCAAAATGGAACGAGTATTGACTAGCTACCTACAAACGCGAGCCAGGGCTTAGCTTTCTCGATCAAAAGCAACATACCCATACATACATACATGTTACAACATACCCCACCCGGCTCTGATACAACATGTACCTCGCCGCCATCTTGGAAAAAACATCCTCGTGCTCAAAACCAGCGGACAGCTGGAGAAATCCATTTTCACTCACGCAGCCTTAGAACCTACCCTCACCACCGCTACGGAGATCTTTCAAATTCGTGCACATCTAAATGTCTTAAACACACATTTTCTTGCAACTTATTTTTTTAGAATGACATTAAAAAAACATAAAATCGGCTCTCACTTCGAGACGCGTCCACCCAGCCACACGACAGAACAGGGAAAGATGGCGCCCGGAAAACCTCGTCGGCTGGTCGTGTCACGAGCGCCATCAATTGGATAAGTTTGGCACAATTCGCCCTGATACAACTTGGACATGATACAACTCTCCCCGCTCTCCCCTACGGTGCACAGAGAGCGGAGCCACCGCTCCGTGGGAACAAGTCCACGGCGCGGCTGCACCGTACACTCCGAAATCCAGCTGCTCTCACAGAGCCCTGCACAGCTAAACTGACAGGCTATGAAGTTCTTTGTAATAGAGCGATCAGGTGGCCGGCTTTTGTCAGGTCGGTCCGGTGCCGGGTAAGCCGGTGCTCGGCGCTGCCACGCTCGGCTGGGCCCCATGGGAACCGTGTCTCGCTGTCCGCTCCCAGCCGACTGTCCCCGCCGTGCCGGACCCGCGCACCGCACGGCGACGACAGCCTTTTTCTCGGCCGGCAGTTTTCCTACGGATGACTGGGAACAAACCGGCTGGGGCATTCCACGTCAAATCGAACAAAAATCGGCTGTTTTGCACCTTACCATCAGCGATTTCATTATAAATTTGTGAGCGAGTTCCTGTGTCGCTCCGAACATTACATTGATGTTTTTTGCGCATTCTGACCACAGGTCTTCTAAATATAGGGCATCGAATTTTTACAAAATGTTGCATCTTTATATTTTTGAACGACCATAACTTTGGTTGTACTTGTTTGATTTGAATGAAATAAACCTTATTGTTTAGGTAATTTCTTAAGCATTTGTTTAGAATTACACCTACTTAAATACATGACCTTGAAATTTGCTTAACTCTGTTCTTAAGCACAAAAATTGAAATAGCAAAAAACACGTCACCTTCGATTTGGCTAATTTTCATATATTTTATTGCCTACCATATTCTTAACAACCTGTGAAAAAATTAGAGTGGGCCATTCATAAGTTTTGAAGAAAATGGCACATATGCAAACGTATGTTAGCACGCGCAGTGGAGGCGGAAGAGTGACTTTCGACCCACCCCTCCTGTTTTTCGCCAATATCTCATAGTATTAATGCGAAATTAATTATGGCTATATGTCCAAAATTGAATTGCACATCTCATCGTGCAAGCAAGAAGAAAATCGGTTCACAACTGGTCTAGTAATAGCGGTGTAAAGTGAACATCCTGTCGCCGCGGCGACGCGGCGACTCGGCAGCCGGCGCGGACCGCTAGCCGCCGCCTGAATTGTAGACTGTGCCGGGACGGAACGGAACGGTTCCGTCTTTACATCGCGCTCCTTACCGCTGATTACGTTCGATTCGCGTCAAATTTTGTGAGAAGTCTATGAAATGTACAGGCAATCTTATGGTGTAAGAGTTTTGAAAATCGATTGGTAAACAATTGAAATATGAACGTGTAAACACAAAATTGTGATTGCTGCGTTTCCCGCGTCGGCCGATCCCGCCTCAGCCGGCAACATGTTACTCTTAGCAGGTCTCTAACTGCCATATTTATTATTGGATTAACTAGAAATCCCCCTACATACTCAAAAATGTATATTCTTTCGTAAAGTGAAGATAAAAAGACGTGAAGATATCGTTGCGTGATAATGTTTTCGTTGAATTTTTGCTTCATGATGCATTTCCACACGGCTCAAAATTCACCGCAAAATACCGTTTGCCTGAGACACTTTTACTATGGAACTTGAATGCTTGACTACGATGACTATGTATTTCCATTCTCGCAGAGTTTGGGATATCACTAATCAGCAATCATTCATTTCAGAAAGTGTACACAAGCAAGCATGTCTTGACTCTGTCTTTCAAGGTCACGCGCGGTTGCGTGATGTTGATGCATGAAAACGGCGTTTGCCGCGAAAGTTATGAATGGCCCACTCCAATTTTTTCACAGGTGGTTAGGAACATTGTGACGGACATAATATGTAAAAATTACCCGAATCGAAGGTGACGTGTTTTTTGCTATTTAAAATTTTTTGTTTTAATTCAAGGTCAAATGCATTTCAAGGTCACTTCAATTTAATTTTATAATTAAAAATCAAAGCCATATCAATT